TCAAGAACCGTTGTGGTAGTTATTTTTATTGTCTGCATCGTGGAAGCTGCACGATTGAAATGGTTGAGCGTGACGTCATGTGTAACGCCGATTGGGAAAGAGGCCGAATAAAAGACTGCGATTTAGTTTATTAATTAATATATTATTCCTAACAAACTATTTTTATTCCTAACAATCATCTGAGATTTATCAACTACTAAACAGACAGCCTTTGTCGATACTTTTTAATCAATTTTTTTGTACATACATACATACATACATACACACAAACAAATATATATATATATATATATATATATATATATATATATATATGATGAGGTATTATGATTATTTTTCATAATGATTATTTATATTATTTGAACTGTTATCCTCATCTTCATATTTCCAACGCTCCGGCTTTCGTCGGGTGATTTTGGGCCGAACCCTTTATTTCGTCCATTGGGGTAGATTGTTCTTGTTATTAGGATGTCTCAGTTATTTGCCTTTAACTCAACTTTGCACGTTTTTGGGTTCCCCAGTGCTGTTACCTGGTCACTGGATCTAACCAACGTCTTTACTCACTGTGCCATCGTCCTTGAAAATGAGGATAGCAGTCCGAATAAATATATATATATATATATATATATATATATATATATATATATATATATATGTGAAGAAATATAGTTTAAGGTGTGCTATATTTATGGGATAAAGTGCTCAGTATGATAGAGCATATGTAAATATAAATATAATAGTGAACATTGAAGTAAGCACTCAAAGGCGACAGGCTGTTTCATGCTGGATGCAACTGGCGGCCTGACGATTGTGTCCAGCTTGAAACAGCCTGTCGCCTTTGAGTGTTGACTTCAATATTCACTTTATATATATATATATATATATATATATATATATATATATATATATATATTATAAATTAATTGATTTAAAATATGTTTTTTTTCGTTACCCAGTTCTAACCATGTTTCAAAAATGGAAAGTTCGGGATATCAATACTAGCAGTAAGGAAATCACTGATCTATCAGTGATAGAATAGGTCAAATATATAAAAAAGAATGCTACATAACCTTAAAGGATCACAAACCAGATTTTGAGGCTAATCCCACTACAAGGATAATAAATCCTACAAGACCGGATATCGGAAAAATAAGTAAAATGATCCTTGAAAGGGTAAATAAACAAATTAAAGAAAAAATAAGCCTGAAACTTTGGATTAATACCAAGGAAGTGATAAACTGGTTTATCACTTAAAAGAAAAAAAAAAACAAACAATTGTACACTAATGCAGTTTGACATTGATAATTATTACCAATCAATATCTAAAGAACTATTTATGAATGCGTTGGACTTTGCCACCCATTATACAGCTATTACAGATGAAGAAAAGAACATTATTCTATATGCGAAAAAATTGGTACTTATACATAAAGGTGAGCAATGCATTAAGAATTCATATGACCACTTTGACATCACAATGGGATCACTAGACTCAGCTGAGTCTTCAGATCTCATCGGTCTTTTTATATTATACAACCTTACAGCGCACCGTGATTTTAATATAACTGACATTGGTTTGTACAGAGACAATGGCCTTGTCGTTATTAGAAATTCAACCAACTTCAAAATAGATAGAATTAGAAAGGTTTTATATAAAGAATTTAAAAGCATGGGCTTAAAAATTACGGTTAGCACTAAATTAAAAAAGTGAACTTCCTAGATATAACATTAGATCTAAATAAAAATACATACACCCCTTATAAAAAACCCAACACCAATCCTTTATATATACACCCTAAATCAAATCACCCCCAACTATAATTAAACATATACCGTTATATATCAGTAAACGAATAAGTACAAATTCAGCAAATGACAAGATTTTCGATGAGCATATCAATTCCTATAATAAGGCTCTAAAAGTGAGTGGCTACAAAAACCCAAAACTAACTTATATAAAAAATATAAAAAATGAAAATGAAAAGCATCGAAAAAAACAGATGTAGAAAAATAATTTGGTATACGCCCCCATACAACCAAATGGTAAAGAACAAATTAGGACAAAAATTCCTCGCATTAATAGTCAAGCATTTTCCTAGTGAAAGTAAACTAGGTACTATTTTCAATAAAAACACACTAAAATTGAGTTACAGCTGTACGGAAAACTTAGAAAAAATTATTAAGAATAATGCTAATATCTTAAATAAACACTTGTACCAAAACCCAAAAAGTTTAGACAATGGAAAAATAAAAATAAAAACTGTTGAAAATAAACAAAAATTATGTGACTGTAGAAACCCTCATAATTGCCCTCTACAAAATAAATGTCGCACTTAATCATTAGTATACCAATGCAATATCTCTTTGATTGAAAGTCCTGAAAACATAAAAATATATATCGGTTGCACTAGCCATGAATTCAAAAAAAGATTCAACCAACATCAAAGTTCATTTAGGATAAATAAATATAAAAATCAGACATCTCTATCGAAATACTTCTGGCACCTAAAAGAATCAATTAAAACACCTACAGTAAAATGGAAGTTAATAAGAAAAGCTAGAATATGTAGGTCATTAAATGGCCCATGTCCTTTGTGCATACACGAGAAACTATATATTACTAAGTTTATAAAAAATAAAAATTTACTGAATCAGAGAAATTTTATGCCGTCATTGTCAAAAATTTTCCTTAAATAATATTTAAAAATAAAAATAAATTTATAAAAGTGCGATCAGGTAATATACATACTTATATTTAACATGAAAAGTTAATTTTATATACTGTAAGTAATTCTATTACATTTACTTGTTTTTCCATAAAAAAAATAAGAAAAAATAGTCTATTAAAATAACAGTGAAAATATTTTAAAGTTGTATTTAAAATTGTAGTTAATACGAATTCTAACCTAAACATCTTTTAAAATTGTAGTTAAATAAAACGTATTCTAACCTAAACACCCTTCAAAAAGTAATACCGACACTCAAATGAATCCATGTCCTTAGTAATATATAGTTTCACCTGTATGTACAAAAGTTTTTATATATATATATATATATATATATATATATATATATATATATATATATATATATATATATAAAATAAAATAAAAATAAATAAAGTTTACTAAATTAGAGAAATGAATTAGCTATTTTTGCCGTAAGTGCCAAAATTTTACTTAATATTTAAATATAAAATTTTAAAAATCGTAATAGACATATACTTGATCTGGAATAATAATTTTACTTACAGTAAGTAATTCCAATACATTTACTTCTATTAAATGAAATATAGTCTATAAAACTAACTATGAAAATATTTTAAAGATGTAATTAAAATTGTAGTTAATTAAAATGAATTCTAACCTAAACTTAATTTAAATTGTAATTAAATAAATAAATAAAATTTACTAAATCAGAGAAATGAATTAGCTATTTTTGCCGTAAGTGCGAAAAAAAAATCTACTTAAAAAATATTTAAATATAAAATTTTAAAAAATCGTAATATACTTATACTTGATATAGAAAAATAATTTTACTTACTGTAAGTAATTGTAATACATTTACTTCTATTAAATGAAATATAGTCTATAAAAACTAACAATGAAAATATTTTAAAGTTGTAATTAAAATTGTAGTTCATTGAAATGAATTCTAACCTAAATTTTTTTAAAAATTGTAATTAAATAAATAAATAAAGTTTACTAAATTAGAGAAATGAATTAGCTTTTTTGCCGTAAGTGCAAAAAAAAAAAAAAAAAATTACTTAAATAATATTTAAATATAAAATTTTTAAAAATCGTAATATACTTGATGTGATAATAATTTTACAAACTGTAAGGGATTCTAATTACATTTAATTGTTCTTGAAAGAAATATAGTATATTAAAAATTAAAAGTAAAAATATTTCAAATCGTAGGTAAATAAAAAGTATTCTAACCTAAACACCCACCAAAAATCTTTAAAAATACAAAGGGAAAAAATGCCGTAAGAATTTTTGCAGTTAACAATAAAATTTAAAAAAAATCCAGACGACACGCTTTTAACGGATGTTAGATTTCATTGAAAAATACATCCCTACCCACTACCAAAACGTAGCAATAACTGATACATTAAAATATAGACATATTGAACACCCAGACACTCCTAGTCTAGTAAAATGGATTTATCTGTAACCTTTGAAACATGAATTATGTTTTTAGCTGTGTATTTAAAACTCAGTAATTTTAAAAGTTACTCAAAAATTCGCTTGAGGATGAAATGGAACTAATGTCTTTAATTTAATTACAAAATTAAATTCGGGGCTTTTAGCTTCCATTTTTGAAACATGGTTAGAACTGTGTAGTGAAAAAAACCATATTTTAAATCAATTAATTTATAATATTAATGCCCTGTAAATTTACATTGAGCACTATTTTGTAAAAATAAAAATATCTATAAGAACACCGGATTATATATCTTACTGTTCTTTCTTTTATATATATATATATATATATTCTTAATAGAAATCTTACAAGTATAAGAAACACTACTCGCTCGGAAAGCGGATCGTCAGCCTTCCCAGATGATCCGCTTAGGTGAAACGTTGGTAGGTTTGTCTGGCTCTCTAGGTTTAACTATATATATATATATATATATATATATATATATATATATATATATATATAGCAGGTTTCTCTTGCTGAAAAATTATTATCAGTTTCAAGACAATTTTAGACATTATATGACGGATATGAATGAAGAATTATTATCGATTGTCTTTAATCAATCATTAGTGTCCTTTAATGATTGCAAAAAGACGATGACATGAATTTGCAGGAAAGAGTTTTACAAGGAAGATAAAGAAATTAAAACTTGACTAACCATGGAGGATCCAGTTTTTGTCAGAGCCTGCGAAATACAAGTAAATTAAGGATTAGTTACAACAAAAAGTGGATTGCTTTTTGTGTTATTTTTTAACAAATTTTGTATTGACATCGCAATTAATAGATGTTCAGGCTTACGGCAATATCACATTAAGACACCAGTTGCCGTACGATCACCGTATTTAAGTAACGTGGAACCTGGTCAGTACCTGGATGGGTGACCACTTGAGACTACTGAGTGCTGTAAGCTTGAATTAGCTGGTGGTGTAAAGAGCTTATGGACACATCACGTTCCCGTACGAGCAACATGTACTTTCATGTACTTAGAGGCTTTTAGAAAATCTGTTTTTTCCTATCTCTACTAAAGCCCATTTTGCTATACATTTACACAAACTTGTTAAGGAGGTTATGCACTGATTGCTCTCTTCTAACCTCCAAAATGTCATGTGAATGGAAAATTTTACAAGCATTTTCCCATTATATGACATTTGGGGTATTACAGGTTAAAATTACGACAAGAAAAGTAAATTGAAAATTCAGGCAATTTAGCAGAAAGCGCGAAGAATATGATACAAATTAAAAGCCGATTTTATAAATAAACAATTTTGAAAGACAATAATATCATCAGAACAACGTAAGGCTGTGAATTGTTAAGACATATAACATAATAGCAGGAGAGGTTTATTACACAAATTGATAAGCATATACACCTAAAGGCGATTTTAGCATTAAAGAATTTACTTACTCCAGTAGAGTCTGGATACCAGTACCCATGCGTAGTTTTCCAGTTCAATGTAGTTGGGTACTCTGAGAACAAACCAAGTGTATGGGGTGCTGGCTATAGCCTCCACACCTTTCATGTACACTTCTCCGATGGCCACAACAAATATCTTGACGTCTTCGCGTTTCAGTATGTCGGCCTGTGATTTGGTCCACAGAAGATTGTTTGTCCTGCCGTTAGTAATGGCGATGACAACGTTGATTACGTTGCGTCTGGCTCCATCTTTGTAAGTAAATGAGAATCTTCGTACATAGTACAAGGCACGGTTCGTGTATTCTTGTCCTCTAATATACGGAATCTTGTCAATAGCATGCAACACTTGATGCAGATCCTTGTATGTGTTCAGATTGAAGTCATCTTTTTCCCATGTGCTGTAAGTAACAACACCGACTCTGACATGCCTTGGTGCAATAAGGAAGTACTTGATGACATTCTTCACAAAGTCTTTCACTTTCTTGAAGTTTTCCAATCCAACGTAAGTGGATGAGTCAATGATAAACATGATGTCCATTTTAGCCGTATCATAACCTAGGAGAAGAGAGGATATTAGTATTATGGTAACAGTTTCAATTAGAATATGCTAGAAATTTTGACGTTACTATTGATACAACAAAGTGTCTGGGTAAAGTTTGCAAAATAATAATAAATCGGAAACAACGACAATAATGAAAGTCTACTAACCTCGAAGTTTAATTTCTCTCAGTTCTGCAAATAGAAAACCAAGACAAGAAATAAAAGTCATATTAGAATCATTTCATAGCATTACAACTATTTGAAATTTAAGTATTTTACGAAATTGTTAGTTCTAAATCGACGTGTGAGTGATTTTCTTAAATTTGAAATATTATTTGAAGTTGCCAGAATTAATCATTGGTCTGCTTTAAATTTTTTTCCAAAATTCGATGGTTTATCAAGTGATATATGATGGGCATTTCATGCTGAATTAAAAAAAAATAACATTCATCGTGTTTGGTCAGTTTTAGTTTTTAAGATGTGCTTGAATACTTCATAATATGTTGTACACAATAATAACAATTATTCGAATGCCTGTGGACACTACTTGTCACAGCTGATCGTGGGTGCTTGATGTTTAGTATAGCATATAATGTTTTATCTGTACCTGACTACAGTGTAGCACCCTACTCGCTAACACCCACATACCTAGAGGGGACAGGTGTTATCACTCAGCTTAAAATGATTTTAATATACTGTGTCAAGTGGCAATGATGAGCAAAGTTTTTTTTTCTCTTTTCAATTTGTCATCTGTTTTCCTGCAAGAATGGATTGCATGTGTAGGAATAATCCTGACAGGTTCTGTACCTTTCACACAAGAAGAACTAAACGACTAGACATGATTTCTGAAATTCACAAATGTGTCTACACGGCGGCTGGGTTCAAGTCTAAAAGAAAAACATCTGTTGGCACCAGAAACAAATTTTACTGGTATCGAGACAATGATAGAGAATTAAGACCATTTTTCATATTCCAGGATAAGTTATGATTGAAATATTGCAAGAATCTTGCCGGGTTGATCAAATCAAATTGGGCTGAAAGTATGATGTTACGGAATGGAGAAATTTTATTGACTCATCAAGCAGAAGTCTCAAAGCAGTTCTTCTACATAATGTGAATAGTTTTTCATCGATATCTATTGGGCAGTCAGTAGAAACGAAAGAAACCCACAACAGCATGATTCATATGCTCTCTGTTGTTGACTACCAGAAGCACAAATAATTGATCTGTGGAGATCTTAAGTTGGTTGAACTGGTCCTAGGGCTCCAAATTGGGTACACAATGTATTCTTGTTTTCTGTGTCTCTGGGACAGACAGGCTGACGAACAACATTATGTCAGACAAGAGTTGCCATTGAGACAAGGGTTAAAACTTTGCACGCATAACGTTCAGACTCACACTCTCGTTGAACCGTAAAATATACTGCTTCCACACTTACATATCGAGTTAAGAGTAAAGAAGAACTTTGTGAAGGTAATGGTAAGGAAAGAACCGGGTTTGCTTTCCTCCAGGAGAAGTTCGCACGAATAAGCATGGAGAACCTCTAGGCTAGTGTATTTGACGGCCATTAAATAAGAGATGTCATGAAGACCCAATGTTTGGCAGAGCGAATTGTCCGCCTGGCAGTCATTGAAGTCAGTAGTTACAAATTTCTGTGAAACTAGAGGAGTACGGAATACGAGAAGGAAATTGAAGATCTACTGAAACGTTTCCGTCAACTCGGGGCACAAATGTCAGTCAATCAGCACTTTCTACGATCACACTAGGACTAGTTTACAAAGAACTGTGGAGATTTGAGTGAAGAGTAGGGTGAGCGCATTCACCAAGATATTATGGAAGAGCTCTACCAAGGTCGTTGGGACGTAAACATTTTCAGTGTGTACTGTTGGTGCTTGAAATGGGATACGGTGGCTGTCGGGCACAAGATGACATCCTTGAAAAGACCTTTCATCCATGAATAGATTCTTTTGTGTATTTTCTAGTTTACTATGGCACAATGTAAATTTTCCATGTATATATCAGACCTAAATATAGCATTATTTGTTAAATTGAACAAGAAAATAAATGAAGATATAATACTGCTCTATATATTTCAGGTAAGAGCGTGTATCTTGAAAATTTGATCTGTTTAGAATCAATGTGTATGAGTTTTCGATTCACCGTAAAAAGCTGTCTTATAATCAGCTATTATATATTCGCCCTTGAAAATATCGCAGGACAGTGTAATAGATTTATAATCCAAATATAAAAATAATCTTATAATTGCAAATATATATTGCTTAATCTCATCGTGAAGCTCACGTGAACCATAATTTAATGGGATTAAGTATAACGTATATTTTTACAATATAGAGATAAATGCAACAATATACTTACCTTCCTCTCGATATTCTTTGATAAGATATTCATTTTCTGAAATGAAGAATAGACAAATTATAATTAACAATTGCGAATGTTAGTTTCGATATTAGCAATAATCAGGAAGGAAATGTATTTTTTACATTCATTCTTTGCTAAATTCACATGAGTTTCTTTTGATTTAATAGACAAGAGATTTTAAGAGATGATTGGATTAGCATTAAAAAAGCCCCATAATTTAAAATGCTCATTGTTTATTCTCTGAATAATGAGAGACTTTTATTGGACTTTCTTAGCATTGTCATGTAAGATACGGATGAAAATATATGAGCTACGGACAATAAAATTTAAATACATACCTAGATAGCGTAAACGTTCTTCATAACCTGGTAAGAAAGAGAAGAAGGTGGTTAGAATGATGAAAATATCGTATATTCCGACATTTGCATAGTTATTTGATAATAAATACATAACTATGATATTAATAAATATACGTTTAAAAATTAAATGAAGAGGTGTGAGGTACAGAAATAGAGATAGATAGATAGATAGATAGATAGATAGATAGAGAGAGAGAGAGAGAGAGAGAGAGAGAGAGAGAGAAAGAAAGGCAGAGTGATTGAGACTATGTATGCAGAAGGAACACCGACGATATTCTCGGCAGATTATGTCTGTGATATATCAATGTCCTTTTGGTCTTATAAAGTCGTTCTCTTCATTAATTAGTACGACATTAGTGCAATGGAAGTGAATGAATTAAACTGAATATATGTCACACTAATATTCGTTAAATTAATTCGTTTATCGTAAAAGCTAGTTTGAATAAAGTATTTTTCAATTCATTCAATGGGATTCAAACAGGACAAACCTTCTAGATTCCATTTTCTGTCATAACCTGTAATAATAAAGAAAATCAAGATCATTAATTGCAGTCTAATAATATGATGGAAATATTAAATTGATAAGAATTACGATTGAGAATTATATTATTTGTTAAAATGTTCATTCAATTACGAATATTTCTGTTTGTTTCTATCAGAGATTGAAGAAAATCCTCGCCATCGGGAATGAGTATGAATTTCACATATAAATTTAATCCTATAATTCAGGAAATGCGAGCCATATTGTTTGGGCTCAGGATGATGATAAGATATTCTTTTTGGTACTTTTTCATTTTGAAAGACAACAATATCATCAGGACAACGTAAATCTGTGAATTGTTAATATATTTAACATAGCAGCAGTTTATTACACGAATTTTTAATGATATAAACCTAAAGGCGATTTTAGAAATAAAGAATTTACTTACTCCAGTAGAGTCTGGATCCCAGTATCGATGCGTAGCTTTCCAGTTCAATGTAGCTTGGTACTCTGAGAACAAACCAATTGTATGGGGCGCTGGCTATAGCCTCCACACCTTTCATGTACACCTTTCCGATGGCCACAACAAATATCTTGACGTCTTCGCGTTTCAGTGTGTCGGCCTGTGATTTGGTTCCCAGAAGATTATTTGTCCTGCCGTTAGTAATGGCGATGACAACGTTGATTACGTTGCGTCTGGCTCCATCTTTGTAAGTAAATGAGAATCTTCGTACA